TCTACACCTTGTTATCTCAGATTCTCCAGCATCTGCAGTTCCTACTACCTCAGTAAATGAAGTGTTCCAATTTCAAGTCCTTTAAGGTGCATGTGTTTCGGGCCTGTGTGGAGTCTCTCTCGTAACTCTTCGGATCCAATGAAGTTTGAATCTCAGAATTTCCAGGTAAGATTATAGCTGAGTTGCTATAAAAGGGAATCTTCACAGGTGAAAATGACTGAGACCTCCCACCCCCTCCCCACCCCACCTTGCACTGACTGGTTGATAGGCAGGTGTCTGCTCTTCTGGTCCTGTTTGCAAACTAACCTGATTCTCCTGGGTCCTTGGACCAAAGAGATTGGTTATAATATTCCAAAACTGCCTCGGGTCTAGAAAGGTTTCAGTGGTTGGAACAAAGGGAGACAAAGTAGGAAACTAAGGACCGTTTAGTTTAACATTTATCATTGGGAATTTATTAGAATCCATTATCAAGGAAGTAACAATATGACACTTGGAAAATCAAAACACAATATATCACAGTAAGAGATAGTAAGAACTGCAGATGCTGGCGCATTCTTGCAGGAAGGTGGGTGAGAGGAGGTGTTGTCTAGGTAGCTGTGGGAGTCGGTGGGCTTGATATTGCTTTCTTGCAGGAACTGAAGAAGGGTCCCGGCCTGAAACGTCAACTTTCCTGCTCCTCTGATGCTGCCTGACCTGCTGTGTTCCTCCAGCTCCACACTGTGTTAACAGAGTAAGCATGGTTTTAGGAAAGGTAAATCATGTTTGACTAATTTGCTAAAAGTTCTTTGAAGATGTAGATTTAGATTTTATTGTCATGTGCACTCAAGTACAGAAGTACAAGAGTAAGTGAAAAGTGTATAATGTCACTACACATGACACCATCTTAGGTACCAAGGTACAAAAAAGAACTTAGGTACAAAGTAGTAAGAGAAACGAGAGTTTAAAAGTTAAGCATTTCATAGAATAATTGAAAAATAAAGTCTAGGTAATAGTTTACATTAAAGTCTTTCTTAGTTTAAACTGGGAAAATGAAGGAATAAGTTAAAAGTTCAGCAGTCATTGATGAGTCCTTGGCTTATCTCGCTGTGCTGCCTGTTCTTGACGCTGCTGCAGTGGATACCGTCGTTGCTGCTGACACTGCCTCCTCTCTGATCTCCCCCGGTGCCTCGGGAACATGCTTGGGCAGGACCTACTCACACTGAGTCTGGGCCACCACCGTGAGCTGCCAAGAGACCAGGCTGGGACCGGCTGAGATACTGGTCGGGGACCCACCCTGAGCCACCGAGAGATCAGTCCAGAACCCGCCTGGAGCCACCGAGCGATCAGGTTGAAATAAAGTGGAAGTGAACATCAGTCCCGTTCAGAGACACACTGTCTCTCACGCTGGAGAATGGGGCTATGAGATATATCAGCCACGCTCAACCTAATTCTGCTCCATGATCTTCATAGACACAGGGAGAAAATGCAAATTCCACACATACAGTCACCGAGGTTGGAATTGAACCTGAGTCCCTGGTGCAATGAGGCAGGAGTGTGAACTACTGTGCCACTATGTAACAAGCCAAGTGGATGTAGAGATATAATATCTGGACTTCCAGAAGGCATTTGATGAGGTGCCACATAAAATATTAATACACAATGTGTAATGTGGAGGTAGAGGTAATATACAAGCTTGGATAGAGGATTGGCTAACCAACAGAAGCAGACAGGATAAGTAGGTCATATTCTTGTTGGCAAGCTGTAACTAATGGGATGCCACAGGGTTTCGTCTTTGGGATGCAACTATTTACAATCTGTATTAATGACTTGGATGAAGGGATAGAATGAGCTATAACAAAATTTGCAAATGAAACTGAAATAAGTCAGAACATAGTTGTAATAAAGAAATAATGAATTTATAAATGGATATGGATAGGTTAGTTGTGGACCAAAATGTGGCAGATGAAGCTTGACATGGAGTGTTAAGTGTGAGGTTATCTGTTTTGGTCGGAAGAATAAAAAGGCAACTCGTTATCGAAATGGAGAGAAACTTCAAAATGCTTTGGTGCAGAGGGATCTGGCCCTGGTAGCAAAAAGCCAGTTTTTAAAAATGTATCCACAGGATATGGTAATGCTGGTTAGGACAGCATTTATTGTCCATCCACTGGCCAATTAAGAATCAATCACATTGCTGTGGGTCTTCAGTCACATGTAGGCCAAATGAGGTAAGCATGGCAGTGAAGCAGATGGGTTTTTTTCCTGATAAGCAACAGGAGGTGAGCTTCTTGCTACAGTATTCCTAACCTCAAACCTGCTCTTAGAACCACAGTAGTTGTCTCAGAATCACAAAAATGATATGGTACAGAATGTAGCCATTCAGCCCATTGAGTCAGCACTAGCCTTCTGAATTAGCATTTTACCATATTGCTATTTCCTGCCTTTACCCCACAGCCTTTGAACGTTGTTTCTGTTTAAATAATCATCCAATGGCCTGTTGAATGACTCAAATGAGTGTGTCTCCATCATATTTCTAGGCAGTGCATTCCACACACTAACTACTCATTGAGTGAAAAAGTCTTTTTCTCACATCATATTTGCATACGGGGGTGAGGGGGGCTGCAGTTGAGTTACTGGTCATTGGTAATCCCCAGGATGTTGATAGTGGGGGATTCGGTGATAGTAACACCATTGAATGTCAAGGGCAGTGATTAGATTGTCTCTTATTGGAGATAGTCATTGCCTGACATTTGTGTGGTGTGAATGTTAGTTGTTAATTGTCAGCCCAAGTCTAGATATTATCCAGGTCTTGTTGCATTTAGACATAGATTACTTCGGTATCTGAGGAGTTGTGAATGGTGCTGAACATTGTACAGTCATTGGTGAACCTTATAGTGGAGGGAAGGTCATTGATGAAGTAGCTGAAGATGGTTGGGCCTAGGACACTACCCTGAGGAACTCCTGCAGAGGTGTCCTCACATACATGCAACCTGAATTCCCTGGGAATGTTTATCTCCTTTTTCTGTCATTGAGTCATACAGAACAGAAACAGACCCTTTGGTCCATCCAGTCCATGCTGACCACAATCCCAAACTAAACTAGTCCCACCTGCCTGTGCTTGGTCCATTTCCCTCCGAACCCTTCCTAGTCATGTACTTACCCAAATGTCTTTTAAATGTTGTAACTGTACCTGCATCCATCACCTCCTGGAAGTTCATTCCACACAAACCACTCTCTATAAAAGAGTTGCTCCTCACGTCCTTTTTAAAACTTTTTCTCCTTTCACCTTAAAAATATGCCCTCTTGTTTTGAACTCTCCCGACCCAAAGGAAAAGACTGTTGTTATTTGCCTTATCTATGTCCCTCATAATTTTACAAACTTTTATAAGATCAGCCTTCAACCTCTAACACTCTAGTGAAAAAAATGTCCCAGCCTTTTCAGCCTTACCTTATAACTCAAACCCTCCAGTCCCAGCAGCATCCTGGTAAATCTTTTCTGAATAATATCCTTCCTCTAACAGGGCGACCAGAACTCCAGAAGAGGCCTCATCAATGTCCTGTACAACCTCAACATGATGTCCCAACTCCTGTACTCAAAAGTCTGAGCAATGAAGGCAAGTGTGCTAACCGCCTTCTTTACCACCCTGCCTGTGTGTGATGCAAACTTCAAAGCTGTCTCGGTTCTACAACGCTGTGGTGTATATGGACTCCCAGACAGACTTCTGAGGAAAGTTAGAGCTCATAAGTGCATAAGATATAGGGGTAGAATTAGGCCATTTGGCCCATCAAAGTCTGCTGCACCATTTGATCATGGCTGATATGCTCCTCACCTCCATTTTACTGCCTTCTCCCCATAACCCTTCAACTCATTACCAGTTAAAAATCTGTCTAACTCCTTAAATTTACTCACTGGCCCAGCAAGCACCACATTTTTGGGGTAGTGAATTCCACAAATTCACAACCCTTTGGGAGAAGTAGTTTCTCCTCAACTCTGTTTTAAATTTGCTACCCCTTATCCTTGTCCTAGAATGCCCCACAAGAGGGAGCATCCACTCCACATCTATTTTATCTATACCTTTTATCATCTTGAATACCTCGATTTGATCTTCCCTCATT